ACCTGATTGCCATTGTGCTGGTCATGCCGCTTTCGGATCGGTTTCACCGATACCGACCGTTCATCTTTTCGGCCGCCGTATGCGTCCAGATCGCCGGTCTCCTCACAGTCACTTTTGCCCTGTCCAATGGTTGGGCGCGGTACGGTGGCCTTCTCATGGTGGGCTTCGGCCTCGGGCCCACCGTGCCCAACTGCATGGCCTGGACCAGCGAGATCTTTCAGCGCCGCCACGGCGAGGTGGGCGTGGCCGCCGCCTCTGCGCTGGTCTCTGGCCTGGGCAACCTGGGAAGCGTCGTGACGACCTATGCGTTGTACACGGGATGGCCCGAGGACTCGGCGCCAGGCCGATACCAGTTCCGTCGCAGCAACTTCGCCATGATCGGAATCCTCGGCATGAGCATCGCGAGTAGCTTCGTCATGGTGGTCCTGCTCAAGGTCTTCGGCAACCAGCGCAGCCCCAAGTTTGCCGCCACGAGCGAATCCGGCAGCGACTGCGAGGACGGGGCGGCGCGACGTGAGCGTCAGCAGCGTGGCTTGGGCGGGTTGCTCCCCGGGAGCAAGCCTAGCCACGTCGCCTAGGTAATTTTTCTCCCCCACCCCCTCTCGCGGGGAAAAGATTCAGTGGAGAGTATACGGACTCGACTTTCCACATCGGGGTGATGGAACAGGGGATGGTTCGATCCACCTAGCTCGGCATTGCAGGGCGGACCGGATAAAATCAATCGACAAATCTTGAACGGCAACGGCTCGACGAAACGACAATCTTTTTGTTTGCCTAGACACCTGGCAGCCGACCTGGCCACAACTCATCTCTTCACTTCGTTCTCATTTCCACTTTTACCAGGCCTTTTTCTTCTTTTCTTTTTTCTTTTTTCTTTGCCACTTCAAACAATCTACCAAACTACGGTGATCATCACATCATAATCATCCATTTTGAGCGCCTTCTTCATCTGAGATGCAGCCTGGGCCGGCACCTCCGCTGGGCGAGCGGCGAACCGGCAAGGCAGGCATATCGGCAGCGACAGTGACATTGCGCCATCGCTGGGGTAAGGAAGTGCTCAGGAACTTCAGAGACGACCGATAACGACAATGCTTCCGCGCTATCGCTTTGGTTTGTTTCAGGGGAACCACAAAAACAAGGAGGAAGGGGGGAGGTTGAGGAAAGGAGCTGTTCCTTTTTTTCTTTTTCTTTTTCTGTTGTGTTTGCTGCATTTAGCTATGATACCCCATACGTGTTTGGATACGCTGTCTGGACGAGAATATTCGCCACTCGACAGCGACAGTGCTTTTACGCCATTGCTGGGACGGTGTGTTGGACCGAGAGCAGATACTGGCGACAATGCTACCGCGCTATCGTTCAGCCTGCCTCGTGGGCGTTTTAACGGATTTGATTTTTCTTCTTCTTCATTTTCTTCTTATCAATGCGGAATTGTCCCTTCCTCAATCAGCGCAAGACAGCTTGTTTTGAGCTAACAGGAAGAGGAACAGCGCAAGAGAGGGATACCACGGGCCTTTCTCTGCTAGACCCGGGGGAAGGGGTTGGGAGCCAGAATTGACTGTTTCTCCCTCTCTAAACTTGCTGCGAGAATACATCGTGATGTGCCCCGTCTGCATTTCTTTCGAGGTCTAGTTGCTTACTGTCTTCATGCAAGCTTTACCAACTTTGATATCAGGGATGGATCCCGGGTATAAATGGGTGCTTAAGTTTCCATGCCATTTCAAAGCCAAGGGCTAACCGTAAGTTTGGACTAAGTAAACCTGAAGGGAGACATACAGATTGCTGGCTCTATAGACCCTGTTATTTTTTTTTGGGCGCCAGACAACAGACAATCTCAGCTCTCCTATATATATAGGGGCAGTCAAGAACACTCACAATACGGTAGTCACCACTCAGAGTTGGTCACGTGAGCAGATGGGTTACTTTGTGCTTAATAAGGCAGGCAGACCACCCACCAATACATCCGTACCTTAGCTAAGCACCCATCAACACCAGAATTTTCAGGCCACTCTTTTCGGTGAGCCTGCTAATTATTTATCCGTAATAAACTTCGTACTTTGATTCACTGCAGGTTGACCTGACCTTTTGGTCCCCAGGAACAACGCATGCTCTATACACACCGTATCCCCTCCTTTTCGGCTTCCTATTTCTACTCCGAGCTCGACAGCTATCTTGGCATCCGTTACGCATTCGCTGGCCCTTTCCAGCTAGCCCACCCACCCGTGGCGTGGCTCCATTAGACGGTCTCGCATCCCTCGACCTCGAGCAATACCATCACCACGCCAACAGCCAACAGCCAACAGCGCGTTGTGCGCCTTCGATACTTGGCCCCATCGGGCAGATTCACAAGATGAGCGTCGTTTATGAACCTAGGAATTTCATGCACGATCCCTCATATCCGCCCATTGGCGACCCAGATCAAGACCATCATGGCTCGCGCATGTCATATCCCTCCCCCGATGACGTCCCGGACCTGAGCCCATACAACGCATCTCCACCGATGTTGCCGGATGATCGCTCCATGATCCAAGAAGCGTTGGTCAACGAGGCCGTCATGGTTAGCGATGCTGGGCAGCTTAGTATCTCTACCCCTGCAGGTCTCGTCTCCCTACCCGCCAACTTGACCCACTCGATGCCTCCCCACGACGGGGAAGACATAGAAACGGCGACACACTCGATTCGGACGAAGCACATTCCTAAACCCGAACGCGAAGTACAGAAACAGGCAGATGGAAAATACTATTGCACCTTTCCCGGCTGCACCGAAGACATTCAAGTCTTTAATCGCAAGTGCGAGTGGAGGTCAGCACAAGCCTTTACCCGCCCCTCCCGCCCTTCCTCTTACAGCAAGCTAATAGATAGTACTCCGTTGCAGCAAACATATGGACAAGCACGAGCGACCATACCGTTGCGCCGCCGAAGGCTGCGAGAAGCTCCCCGGCTTCACCTACTCGGGCGGCCTCCTCCGACACGAGCGGGAAGTCCACGGCAAGCACGGCGGTCCCAAGAACACCGTCAACTGCCCACACCCCGCCTGCAAACGACACACCGGAAAAGGCTTCTCGAGACAGGAGAACCTGAACGAGCACCTCCGACGCGTCCATACCCACGAGGGAAGCACCCCGGCCGGCGACGACGCGAGTAGCGACGGCGACAGCGAGAGGGCCGGTGTCAAGCGGAAGCGCTCGCGCAAGAACTCCACATCCGACGCCTGGGAGGAGATGCGCGACGAGCTCAAACGCGTCCGGCAGGAGAATGCTGAGCTCCGCGACCAGATCGACCGCCACTCCCAACACACCCTCGCCATGATGGCCCAGATTGCCGAGCTCCAGGAGGCCCTCCGTGGAGGCAGCCTCGATGCATCGACCATGGGCGTCGACACTTCCGGCGTCAATGCGCCAACTGCGTCCATGATTAAAAGACCCCTTTCCCCCCGGGGGTTTCTATTTTCTCCTTGATTCTCGACCTTTCTTGTATACTACGATACCCCAACCCCACCCTTCTGTCCCCTTTACGACGCGATGATGCTTGATCCCCGGCTATTTGCGATGGGATCGTCACCTCTGTCCGATCACGAAACTACTACAAGCATACATTTGGCGTCCCTGGCTTTTTGTTCCCCTTCTCGGCTGTTTTACTTTTACGGATGGCAAAATGAAACCAAAGAAAAAGAAACAACAATAGCAGATACTCCCCTCGGCATGCGCGCGAAGCGAATCACAATCACACTGGCGGATTTTATGGGTACCGGCTCGGCGTTTTTGCAAAAAAGGGACGGATTGGCAAAGGACTCTCGGCATCCTTCCACTCTCCTTGCTTTCTGGACTGTATTACCAATGATATCCCTCTCTCCTCGGTTTTGAATGGTTTAAGATGGGGCCAGACTGGCTGGTATTTTGAGGGCATACTGTAACTGCCCCCCTGGGTCATGAAATAATGGGAAGCGTTGATTTAGTGTGGAGAGAAGACGCTTGTAATATTCGGCGGAAGCGCTGCCTCTTGTGTATGAAAATATGTAGTCTATAGAACCTCGTCATCTCCGTCCTGGGCCCTGCGGACCATCCAGAGAAATCTATGTTTCCATAATGTTGTCATGGGAAAACACATCCCCATCAGAACCTCTCCCTTTGATTATTCGAAATCTCCCATGCGAGGGGCTTCATTCATAGACAAGCAAGCAGAAACGCGTATCATAAAGCTCGACATACTACGACCAATGCTTCACGTAACCTGGACAACGCATCCCAACACATTGCAAAGCCCAACTTAGACGTCGAAAATGTCCCCAAACCCTTCCTGGCCACCCCGCCGCAGGTCGACGAGGTCCAACCGCCAGCCTTCCCAATTCTTGAGCCCCCTCTTGATCTCCTTAATCCTCTCAAGCCGCGCCTTGGCATCCTGCTCCTGCGCCCGTCGGAACGCATCCTCGTCGAACTCCACGTCGTCTTCTTCTAACAGGTCGTCATCATCGGTATGGCCGGTGAGCACGTTGAGACCGGTCTGAATAATATTCGTAATACCGCCACCGTGATGCTGATGCTGATGGTGGTGGCGGTGGTGGTGGCTGCCCTTACGCGCAGCGCCGGGTGACGGCGCGCCGAGATCCACGTCCTGGAACGACGCCGCACCGGGGCTGGCGGCGTCAGCAAGATCGCGGCGCTTCTCCTGCCACACGCCGCGGCGCAGATCATGGACCTCGGCCTCCAAATCGCGAATCTTCTTCTCGAGCCGCCCCCGCACCTCGTTCTCCAGCTCGTCCACGCCTTCGTCGTCCAGGCCGCCCCCGCCCCCGCCCTCGACCGACCGGCGGCTCCGCAGCTGGCCGTTCTCCCCCTCGAGCCGCTCAGCCCGGGTCTTGAGGTCCTTGACCTCCTTCTCGGCGCGTTCCTTGTCGCGTCGCAGCGCCTGGGTGCGCGCGTCGTGCTCCTTGTGCAGCGTCTTCAGGGCGGCCACCTTCTTCTCGAGGTCGTCGGCCTTCTTCTCGACGTCGAGGCGCGCGGCGAGGGCGTCGGCGAGCTCGTGCTCCAGGGCCCGCAGTTTGGTCTCGGCCGAGGTGCGCTCGCTGCCTTCGCGCACGACCTTCTCGGTGGTGCGGTCGAGGTTGCGGCGCACGTCGGCCAGCTCGCGCTGGGCGAGGCTGGCGGCCTTTTCGGAGCGGGCGAGGCGTTCTTCGAGGGCGGCGATCTGCTCGCGCTCGGATGGAAAGCGGTCGGCCTGCGCGCGGAGCTTGGAGATCTCGAGCTCCATGGTCTCGATGGTGGCCGACTTGGAGGCCAGACTGGCCTCGAGCTCGGCGATGGCCGGGGGAGATCCGGCAGAGACGGACGGTGACGACAAGCCCTGCCGGGATGACCCGGAGCGGGAAAGTTGCTGCTGGAGCTGAGTGTTCTGTCGTTCGAGAGAGGCGATCTCGGATTTCTGGGCAATTTTAAAGAAGAAGAAAAATTGCCGTTAGCATTTCTGATCGGACAATGTCGCAAAAGTGTAGAGTAAAACAACGCACCAGGTTCTCGACAAGGCTATCAGATCCCGTCTTGCTGCCGCTACCCTGGCCGTCTTCCTCCCTCAAATCGGCAAGCTCCTCTTCGGCCTTCTTCCAGCGCTTCTCTGCATCGGTCGCCTCCTTGGCCAGACGCTTGTTCTCCTTCTCTAGTTCCTCTATGCGGGCAACGTGCTTCTTGTAGATGTCCGTGGCCGTCTCACCCTCTGGACTGAAGGGGCCGGGAGACAGCGGGCCGCTGCCGACAGAAATCGAACCTTGGCGGAACGAAGCGGAGCGCAACTTTGACTGTTGAGCGAGGGAGGCCGGCGGTTGGGACGGAGAGGGGGACGCGGGTGGATGATCTTCGGAGAGGTCCAGGGCTCCAAAGTCTTCGTCAGGCGAGGGCGCATCCTTGGAATCCTCGGGTACGGGAGCTTCGACTTCAGGCTTGCTTGTGGAGGAGCCCCCTTCTGGCTCTGCCGCGGGGGCGGGTTCGGCGTCTTCCCGGGGCTCCGCCGGGGCAGCTTTCTTCTTCTTCTTCTTGATCTGCTCTGCCTGTACAGATATACAGGTCAGTCCGGTTGCTCAAGTCCAAGGGATGGGGTGAACATGAAGCTTACTCGTTTCCTTACGGCCGCCAACTTTTCGGCTTTCGCCTTCTCGTCGGCATCGGCCATGACGGCTACGAATGTTAGGAATTAGGTAGTATCGTCGTAAGTCTGATCTAGGTGGGATGCATTAATCTCTTGCGTCGTGCGGTGGTGGTCCTTGGAAGCTGGAGTGGTGTTGGTAGAATTGACAGATTGTACGTATGTACTATGTAAGGTAAGGTACCTTACGTTGTAATTACCCAGCTTCCTTAAGGTAATTACACAGTGGATATCCTGTTTACCCCAGGGGTACCTCGAGCTCACATGTTTAAGGTAAGGTACCTATGTGCAGGGCAATCCCTTGCCTGTTCCTGCGCCGCACTAAACGGTATATACGTAGATCCGAATTACTGGTTAATCGGTTCCATAGTCTACTAGACAGGATGAAGCAACAAAAGGGGGTTTAACCCCCAATTCGAGTTAAGATACGGACCAAGACCCGAGACTCTGGATCATGCCTTGGGCGCATGAGAGACAATGGCAGAGTACCAATCAGGACCACACGGGCGTAGTGATTTTCTAGACATCCTGCGCCGTCTCGTCGGTATCAATGGGTATTCGGTCGCGTAATTACCGGTATAGTATAATGTCATTTTGGCCGTTCTGCCCAGCGCCAATGACTGGTGATGCTCTGCAATTATCCGAGCTAGGGCCCAAAAGCACTTCTGGCACGGCAAAGGAGGGAAAGGAGGTATCCATACAACATTTGCTCGTGTAGGAAAAGCTGCAGGGCGGACGTGACCAAAGCCAACGGCGAACAGAATGCGAACAGAGAGCCGATGTCGTATTCGCCAGCATCACTGCCTGCATAGTGCATGGGGCGGGGGGGGGGACAGCACCAGGGCATGGTGGAACATACGATAACGGGGACTAGGGTGCGGCTACGGATCCACGTTCACGATCACCCCCACACGTCCCGTTGCGTGTCCGCCGCCGATGCCATCGTGGGTTGGGAAAATGGGAAAATGGCTCCGAGCAGGTTCCTGACCGCCTTCCGCGAGGACAGTTGGGGGGTCATCCGGGTTGAAGTGATGTGAATCTGAGAAGTGATAGGTGCGATAGCCACGCCGCTACTCTGCGTTGGGTACGGGATTGCTGCTCCTCACATCTCCCTCTCTGTGTTGTGTTTGTGTTGTACGTTGTAGATATCCATGTCACATGAGGATTGAGAAGCTTTTTAGGGGGGGTTCGGACCAAAGACGAATGACAACAGACCTAATTATAGCTGCCTAAGGTACGTTATACCTTTGACAATTATAAGAAAATGACATTGGATCGGGACTTTGATGCTAAGTATTTACTTTACGGACTATCCATATAAGGTACCTTAGCCAGTCACCACCGATGGAACTACTACCTTAATTACGGTACCTACCTACCTTAACAATTCAGCAGCATGAACCTGATCCTCCCTTTCCAGGGATACTGTCAGCTACAAGCCTAGTACCGAATACAGGGGCTCTCTACGTCATCCGAGGAGATACACTTGACACATCATTAGCGCTCTCCTTAAGTGTCGCATTATCAGGACGGGATTGCGATGATGGGGGTTGTGGCTAAGGTAGGTACCTACCTTACTTATTACCCATACCTACCAGGTAAGCCGGTACCTTGGTGGCGTAGTGCCGGACGGCCATACAATGGCGGGGTAATTTAGCGGGGTAAACAGCGAGAGGTACGGCCATCGCTTCAAAGTCTGGTATAATTACTTCGTGGTAACAAGAGCACTTCTATTCGTAAGGGCACCTACCCTGGCTGGGTGCAGGTAACCGTATGTACCTAGCGCTATGCATCTGGTATCAACTGACACCGACCTTAACCTCTTTTTTTTTTTTTTAGCTCTCCGTAGTGCCTACTTCTTCTCGACCGAAGGTAGCTCCGAACTTTGTCTTCGCTGTTTTCCCCTCCTCTCCTCCAATACATCGCTCTCGCCGTCCGCAGGAGTTCATCCCACATTTCGTTTCTATACCCATTGGGCCGGTTTCCTTTATTTCCTTTATACCTGCCTTCTCTCTCTTCCTCCCCTTCCTGCCAGTCCCTTCACTTCCAATTGTCTCGACTAAGGGACCTGACCTAAAATACTTCCTTTATATAAGGTACCCATTCATATTCATGACATGGTCGTGCGCCAGTCACCCTCATGATAACCTCATATCTCGCCTTTCCCACACCAACATTTCGTCTTGCTCCAACTTCTGCCTGCATATGGCAACCGCATTGACTGCCTCTGAGCTGCCTGACACGAACACGACCCGGCCCCTTCCTTTCCTCCTCCGCGCCTCGCTTTGAATATCAAGGAATTGGGAATCCTTTCAGCACCAGCAGCAAACATGGCCTCCTTACCTTCCCAACACCCAACCCTCTCCATCCACCTCTCCGACCGCAACTTGAACCCCATCCTCACCTCGGCCCGGTCCGAAACACAGCTCGACGCCCTCACATCTCTCACAAGCACCTCCCTAACCGCCCACGCCGCCGCCCAGCGCCTCGCCCTCGGCCACCCCCAGCGCCTCATCGTCGAGCACGGTCCCGGCAACCCCGTCGTCCTCACCTCCTACCTCGACCCCGCCGCCCTGTCTCCGCCTTCCGGTCCTCTACACCCATCGTCCCCCTCCCGTCCATCAACACCACACCATTCTACCGCCCCCGCCGTGGCCGTGGCCGTCGCCGTCCCTGCTCCGGACTCGATCCCTAGCGGTAGTCCAGCAGCGGCAACCCCTCCCGTCGAAGAACTCGCGGCCACCTCGCTCTCAGGGCCAGAAGGAGGAAGCGACTCCCGAGCGAGCGGAACCACCAGCCCCAAGGCCCGCTCGCAGAATACCCGCGAAACCTCTCCCCCCACCACCGCCACCGCCACCGCCACCGCGGCGACAGGCACCAAGATACCGCCTAGCAAGAGATCGGCACCGGAATCGGACGACGAGGCCCGAAATACAGCCACAAAGGCACCGATACTCGTCGGGCTCGTAGTGGCCGGCACGGCCGAAGAGGCTCTCGAGGCACGGCGGGCTGCCATCCGGCTCGAGCGCGTGGGGCGTGCCGTCCAACGTGAATGGCTAGAAGAAGAGGAACAGAAAGGCGACTCCGACACGGACAAGAGCGCTGCATCACAGCCCTTATAGGGGCCCAATTGCCAGCTCTGTTCAAGTTCTTCTCATGATACTTGATCATGGGACCGTATCAGGACACATGGCGAAGGACAGTTCAGGGTCCCTATGCGTGGCCCTTACCGTTTAGGTGACCCCAATCATGATTCTACGAGGACGAACGGATATGACTGCATCAAAATAGGATATGGAGGGTTGGTATAAAATGGAGTTAGTATGCATTTTATGAGACCCCCACCCAAAAGAAAAAAGGAGTTCACGATTTCTTTTGCTCTTATTCATCTGCCACGATCTACAGCTTGTTCCGTCTAACAGGTATTTGATTTCGGCATGCTTGAATTCCGACATCACCACCTCCTTCTCATCCTCTCTTCCAATCTCCAGGCCATGCGTAGCCCCTAAATTCCTAATATGGTCATGTCTAGATCGTCTAGATAAGCTGCTTGAACGCGCGGTTGAGAGGGGAGCGGATGTTGGGGACGTCCTTCCAGAAGTCGACGGTGGCGACGGCACGCTTGGCGATGCCCTCGGGGGTGAACTCGAACTTCTATAATGAGTGTTAGCGTTGTTTCTCTCGTTGGGATTTTTCTTTTAAAGGGGGGCGGGGGGGGGGGGGGGGGGGGGGGAAGGGGAAAAAAAGAAAAGAAAAAGAGGAGGAGGGACTTGACTTGCCTTGTAGACATCCTTGTAGGCACCGGAAGCACCGAACCGGTTGAGACCAAACTGCTCGTGAGTGTAGCGTTCCCAGCCCATGGTGCTCATGACCTCGACGGACAGAGAAGGAATGCCGTCGGGAAGCACGCTGAGGCGGTACTCCTGAGGCTGGGCATCGAAGACCTCGAAGCAGGGCATGGAGACGACACGGGCCTTGATGTTGTGGTTCTCGGCGAGGTACTTGACGGCGTCGATGCAGATGCAGACCTCGGAGCCGGTCGAGACGAGGGTGATGTCGGCGTTCTCGACCTCGTGCAGGACGTAGCCGCCCTTGATGCCCTTCTCGATGATGGAGCCCTCGAGCTGGGGCAGGTTCTGGCGCGACAGGGCAATGATGCTGGGGGTGTGCTTGGAGGTGAGGGCGACGTAGTACGAGGCGCTGGTCTCGTTGCCGTCGGCGGGGCGCCACACCATGCAGTTGGGGAGAGCACGGAAGTGCGCCAGGGTCTCGATGGGCTGATGGGTGGGGCCGTCCTCACCGAGGCCGATGGAGTCGTGGGTGGCGACCCAGATGACACGGACCTGAGACAGGGCGGACAGGCGCACAGCGCCGGCAGCGTAGGAGACGAAGTTCAAGAAGGTGCCCGAGTAGGGCAGAATGGTGCCGTACGCGGCGAGGCCGTTCATGATGGCACCCATGCCATGTTCGCGGACACCATACCGGACGTAGCGGCCGGCATAGTCGCCCAGGCCGGTAGAGGGGGGCTGGAAGTCGACGGCCGACTTCCACCGGGTCAGGTTGGAGCCAGTCAGATCGGCAGAGCCACCGAGGAGCTCGGGAAGGGCGGCCTCGATCTTGGAGAGCACCGTCTCGGACAGCTTGCGCGAGGCAACAGCGGCGTCGGAGGGGGTGTACACCGGCAGGTTCTTCTCCCAGCCCTCGGGCAGGTCGCCCTTGAGGCGGCGAGAGAGGTCGGCGGCCTCCTGGGGGTAGGCCTCGGCGTACTTGGCGAACAGCTTGTTCCACTCCTCCTCGGCGGCGGCACCCTCGGCGGCATGCTTGTGATAGGCGTCGTAGACGTCCTGGGGAACGGCGAAGGACTCCTCGGGGTTGAAGCCAAACTTCTCCTTGAGCTGCTTGATGTCGTCGGCCTTGAGAGGCGAGCCGTGGACGCCGTGGGTGCCCTGCTGCTTGGAGCCGAAGCCAATAGTGGTGCGGAGGGCGATGATCGAGGGCTTATCCGTGGCCTCCTTGCAGGCCTGGATAGCGGCCTCGATGCCGTCGAGGTCGTGGTCACCATCGTCGACGGTGACAACGTGCCAGCCGTACGCCTCGTACCTCTTCCTCACATCCTCGGTGAAAGCGACATTGGTGTCTCCATCGATGGAGATGTGGTTGTCATCCCACACAGCAATGAGGTTGCCGAGCTGCAGATGGCCGGCCAGGGAGCAGGCCTCGCTGGCGACACCCTCCATCAAGCAGCCGTCGCCGAGGAAGCAGTAAGTGTAGTTGTCAACGAGGGGGAAAGCATCCTTGTTGAAGGTGGCAGCAGTGTGGGCCTGGGCAATGGCAAGACCGACAGCGTTGGAGATACCCTGGCCGAGAGGACCGGTGGTGACCTCGATACCGGGGGTGTCGTGGGCCTCGGGGTGGCCGGGAGTGATGCTGTCGACTGTCTACAAAGTTGGGGAAGAGGGGGACGTTAGAAAGCCGCCAGATTTAGGCAGGATATAAGCCGCGAGCTGCGTAACTGGGAGGGACCTACCCGGAACGCCTTCAGGTCATCTATGGAGAGCTCGTAGCCGAAGAGGTGGAGGAGAGCATACTGAAGCATGCAGCCGTGGCCGTTCCTGGTGGTGGACAGATGGTCAACTCCATAGGCCCGAGAGATGAAGCCCCAGTTAACAAGAAGACATGGAAACTCACGAGAGAACGAAGCGATCCCGGTTGAGCCACTTGGGGTTCTTGGGGTTGAACTTCATGAATTTGTTGAAGAGGACGTGAGCGACCGGCGCCATACCCCTGAGAAGCACCAAAGTTTGTTAGCGTACCGCACCACGACCCAGCATGGCGCTTTTTGGGATGATGATGATGATGATGAATGATGATGATGATGATGTAGCTGGACTTACATGGGCGCGCCAGGGTGGCCCGAGTTGCTGTGGAAGGTGGCATCCGCCTAGAAGACATTCTGAATTAGCTATCAGGTTCAATGACCAGAGCATGTCGAGATACCCTCTCCGTCATCCCCAGACGGCTGCCCTCAGCAGCTACTGTGAGCAGTCGTACAACCCCCCACCACCCAACACGACAAAAAGGGCATGGGAAAACAGCGGCGGGGCAACAATGGGAGGGATAAAAAAATCAGTGGGAACTCACGGCCAGAACACGGATAGTGTTGATTGCTAGCCAGTCCTTCTCGGTGTAGCCCATGATTGCGATTATCTACCAGAGGTATCACAGTCTATAGAAGGGGGGTATGTTGAGTTTGGGCGAAGGGAGGGGAAAAGAAAGATTCAGTTCCTCGCAGGAAAAAAGGGAAAATTTCTTGGGGTGAGAGATGAGAGGAGGGGAGGATGGACTGGGTTGGATTAATTATGACGAGATGAATGGGTAAGATGGGTTAAAGGGTTTTTTAGCAGGAGGGGCATTGCGATTCCGGCGGGGTGGGAGGGGGAGGGGTAGCAATTATTAGTAGGACCTGTGCCATCCGCGACGTCGTTAGTTTCTCAGGCACTGGAGTGGTGGGGCGAAACTCAACCGCCAGGGAAACATGTTTCCCCCCCTTCTGATTTTTTCTTTCTTTTTGCCTGTAATTACTTCGTACGGAGTAAGAATCTTTTCTTCTTACACGGACGGTATTGGCAACTCCTCGAGTGGCGGCGGCAGAGGCGATACAACGTCTAGTCTAGTCGTACCCGCTTTTCGTTTCGTCATCCAGCTTTAATCGCTTGTGGTACAACGTACATCAGTTACTCGAATTGGGAAGGGGTTCATTTGTCCTCTCTTCTCCTTGTCCGAAGTACATTGTACGAATGTTGGGCAAGTGCAGTTCGCAGATTCTTCGTCCCCCCATCCGATCTGCGATCCTGACATAAGCCCGCCACGACGTTTGGGGGGATCTGGTGGGGGGGGGGGGAGGTATGATAAGTGGGGCTCCATTATATCACGGTGCCGTCGTCATGTCATGATTACTAGTGTACACGCACTGGCGTAGGTACAGTGAGTAAGCCACAATAATTTCGGTACCTTATATTTCAAAGGTGAACTGCTTCGAACCTTTTTGGAATTGCTGTAGGAAAATCATACAACACCTGGGCGAAATCAATTAGTAGTTCCGCAAAAGTACCAAAGCACTCGACCCTTGAACTACTGGTATACGAAATCATTGCTCACCTAAGGCATTGTACAGTACGAAGTTCTCCGTAACACGAGAGCGGTACCTCCGTGTCGTACTATACTCGTTCAGGCAATTCCTTCTTCCACGGGTGGATGGATGGTGGACGGACGGCTTGTACACGCCTCGACGTCAGGTACGTCTCTCCATTTCCCCGCGTAACGGTCTCGATAGGAGAATTTCCCTCGCTTGTTGAGGCACTAATATACCTCATACTATATTTAACCGCATTTTAACCCGGTCAGCAGTGTACGGTGTACGTGTAGGTCGGTAGACCCTTCGCGGTCATGGAAGACCGCCATGACCGCGCGGGAAACGTATGTACGGAGTGGACAAAACGAGGGAGGATAGGACGGGCTACCTATCCATAAACTAGCGGAACTTCGAGCGATGCCTGGCCTCTTTAATATCTCATTTGATTGTCTGGTGCTTCCCGTTTCTCCTGTTGTGGCCAGCGACTATGCTCACTCACTATTGAGGCTACGAGAAGCAATGGTAACCCAATGGCTGCACTGGTGCGTCGCAGCGGACTTCTGCCTTTTTCGGCTCAGTAGCGAAGGGAATGCCAAAACGCTTGCCATTCATCCAGCTACCTATAGCTGCCTGTCTTCTTCGACTTCCACCAGTTCGACGACTGTGTCAACTACCTGCCCTGGAGTGGCTTGGCTTGCTTTCCAAATGGTTTTATTAACACCACTCAAGCCCGCCACGTGCAAGCAGCCATATATATCATTTACGATGGTATGTCTTCTCGCATCATTCGCGCAAACATCCGCTTTATTTCATATATTTTGCTCCGTGAGCCAATCTCTCTTAAATACCGCGTCGATGTCGGTCCTACAAATCCCGCCTGTGTGTCGTGCCGCCTCCGCCTCCGAAGGAACGACGATGTCAATCAGGGTGGGGATGGCTCAAGAGTGCAGTGTGAAATGCCGTGGGAGATCCTCACAAACCCTTACTATGCTGTGATACTAGGAACTACTAATTACGACTCCAAATACCCGACGACACACAAGTGGAAATAGCTGATCAGATTTTGTCCGTCGTTCAGTGATGGTGAGGTTGGACTCGATCACGATACATATGTACGGTAATCAAAAATCGTTGAACGATCCTTAGGTGTCGTATCATTTAACCGCACGAATCAGACAGATCTACTAGCACCTGTCCATTTAGGCTCAAAGAGATTCCCTCGAGGTAACGCCTGTGGTATCTATCGGTACCTTACCTAACGTAAAGGTACGTTGTACACCAACCGCGGAGATACCACACACACGAAAATGAGAATTGTATTCTACCCAAGTTACGCTGTACTTTCGACTCGTGACTTGACCCCCGCGCGCGTAAGGTACTTTTAGTTCTCCCAACGGATCCTCCGGATCCTCCGGATTCAACCTTCAACTTGCAGCGGTTCACCAACTCCTTCGAAACGGACTCCTCGGACGTGTCCCTCGTGGCGGGTTTCCAAGGCTCTTTTTTATTTTTACTTTTATTATTATTTCCATCTCATCTTCTAATCGTTAATTTATAGGTAGTCCGTACAGGAGGAGATGACTGAATCGGCAGAACGACAACCTGGAGGTTTTCCGCTTGTACGTTGTACAACGCTCAGTCACACAGTCCCGCACCGCCACATATGAGCATCGTGTAGAGGCATATTCTTAACGTCATCGGATGGTCAGGCTTCTACGAGGTATGAGCACAGACTTCGTTCCGTTAAACCCAAAGCCCCTGGCCAGGCCTGGACCTTAGGCCGGATTCAGTTAGGTCTCCTTTTTTTCTTTTTGCTTTGCCCGTCCTTTTTTTCCGTGTCCCCTTTTTTTACTCCCCTTCCACCTAGGTCTTCCTAGGTCTTCCCTTGCTTCTGGGATCCTCAGCATCACGATCATCTACGACAACAGTATGGCATTGCTCGAAAGCTTAATCTCACCTGGATCGGACATTCAATCCCTGAGGACTAGGTTCAGATATCCAAGATCTTAAAGGAAAGGAACAAAATATATAGTCGATCTGGTCCGGTCGGTCGGTCATATAGACAGACAGCTCGAAAATCCAAGGAAAATCAAAAGAAGCAGCTTCATCCTCCCTTGTGTCCCCGAGTCAGTCTCAGTCGCATCTATTAACACCGTGAAGTCGACAATGACACAAAAACCGAGCACCGTGAAGCCTTCCCGCGTGTCCCAGAAGTCCAGCAATAAGGGGTCTCAGCCGACAGTGAACGGTCGAGCGACACGTACTCATCCGCCTCCCAGCAAGCCACAAGGGCCCGAGACTACAAATAGCCAAGCGGCTTTCTCCAGCCTGCCGGTGCCCTTGCAGCAACGCATCCTCGACGAGTTCCAGCGATCGTTTGGAGACCTCTTCCAGCCCGCAGCGCCGGACGGCTCGCCAACACTAACCACGCTCTTGCAGGAGATAAAGGCAGCCCTCTTCAACCGGGACTTCGCCGCCGCTTTTCAGAATGCCCGTCCCGCCCTCCTCGAGGCCTACGCCGCCCGCTGGAGCCCAACCCGTGCCCTGGGCTACGCCTCCGTCTTGGTTGGCCTGGCGGGCCACCTGGACGGGATCCTCCTCCCGGGTCTACCGCCACCCGAGGCCGTGGACGGGATAGGCGGGGATACATCCACAGCGAATGCTCACAACACCAGGATACTCAAAGTGCTCTCCATCGGAGGAGGCGCCGCCGAAATCTCTGCCCTCGCCGCATTCCTCGCCCACCAGAATACTCTCAGCCAGGCCAGAACATTTTCAGGGACCATCACCCTCCTCGATTCGGCCCCCTGGTCCCCCGCCATCGCCAAACTCCACGATGCCATGACCACCCCTCCGCCCTTGTCCAAGTACGCCAGCGCCGCGGTTCGCGCCGCTAACACCCCTCTGATACTGCCCGGTCAGCTCTCCTCGACTTTCGTCCACGCCGACGTGCTCGCCATGACCAGAGAGGAGCTCGCTTCACGCCTCGATGGCCCCTCCCTGGTGACCCTCTTTTTCACTCTGAACGAGCTCTTCACGGCGGGCGGCATCGGCAAGACGACTGCCTTCCTCCTCAACCTCACCGCCGTTATCCCTGTCGGTTCGCTGTTGCTCGTCGTTGACAGTCCGGGAAGCTACTCCGAGGCCGTCGTAGGAAAGGAGTCGAAGCGCTACCCCATGCACTGGCTCCTGGACCACGCGCTGCTCAAGCGAGGGCGTCTGGCCCAGGACGATACCATCAGCGACGGGGGTTGCACCTGGGAGAAAGTCGAGGAGAACGAGTCCGTCTGGTTCAGGTTATCCGATTCTTTACGGTACCCTATCCAGCTGGAGAACATGCGATACCAGATGCACCTCTATCGAGCCACCAAGCAGCTCTAGGGTGATGACAATAAAGGGAACGGGGGAGGCGGGGGGCATAGACCCTACCTCGACCCCCCGTTGCGGTTCTATTATAGAGATTTTGGATAAGTGAAGATCTAGATCTTACGTGAAGAAGCCTGCTTCCCGCGGGATGCATTGACACGCTGGCGCGGCTATAAAACCCAACCCGAGTACCGAAGAGAACGTCCTCTATGTGTTATGCCCACACGAGCTTCTTAATGGAATGGCTCAGGTGATCTAGCAGGGTTGTGCTCTGACGCGCCTCCTCTAATGAGATGATGTCTCCCTTCTCGATAACGCTGCTCGTTCCCGGCGCATCTTTTCCGGGTTGGCACTTGAACGCGAGACGTTCTATATCCGCACAGATGGTGACCACCTGCTGTATTTCGCTGAGCCGCGGGCCATCGCCGCCAACCGCCGCCGAAGACTGCGAGTAAGGCGCCTTGAATGCGAGCTTCCGTACCGGACGCGCATCTCTCGTACGCCTGGGCGATAATAGACTCGCCAGTCCCGAAGCCGGCGGCGCCGGCTTCTGCAACGGCTCATCTCCTTCACCGGACTTCCGTTCCGACGTGGTGCCACTGCGGCTCAGAAAATTGCTTGACACGGTGCGTGTATTGATTCGCCGGATGTCGTTTTTACCCGGCTGATAGGAAACAACGAATCCGACGTTCTTCGTTTCGTCCGTGTGCACGGGAGCGATGGTCGAAGTGATGTATGTCCCGAACTGTATGCCGACGATGTGGGCGAGGTCGACGCGCTCAAAAGACGACACCTTATCCAGGTTCCAATCAAAGCGGCAGAGATAGAGCGCTGCGTCCGTCAGGAGAAGGACGACCTCCTCAAAGGGTAGCTGTGACTTGGTCGTGTTGGAAGTGGGAGGGGTAAGCAGCACCCAGCCGCCCGTGAACTCTTCGTTCTCGTCCGACACGACGCGCTTCTGACACAGCTCGATAGCTTGCTCTCGGCGTTTGATCATGGAGATGGCGGGGTCCTTGGTCATCATCTCGGCCTCAAACTCCTGGAAGACCATCGAGGTAACGTTGCCCAGGAGGAAATCAATCGCGGCCTGACTGAAGTAGTCATTTACCATACTAAGACGCAGTAGGGAGTTAGTACGAGCCAGAACGGCTGTATCTTTCCAGGGTCGACGTTCCAAGACAGACTGGCCTTACCCGTTGTAGAACCTTGTCAACGAGAGGCCAAGGTCGTTCAGAGTACCCCGGTAGTTCCTCTTCCTGGTGCGGGTAAAATCGCCCTTCATAGCCGCCGTGGACGCGTACTGCTTTGAAACTGCGTCGCCATTATCCGCCCAGAGTGTGTTAAACCAAGTCGTTTCTTGGTCTAGCTGAGCGCTCATGTCGTAACCCTCGGCTCGAAGCTGATCTTCCAGTACTTGCTTGGCGAAGGAGCTCTGGCAGACATTGGTGCGGTCGAGGCAGTCCATGCAGTTCGTTCTCAGTACACCACGCTGGCGTTGGACCAGCTCGCCGTCCTTTTCAACGGACCAGCCGAGCTCTTCCAGCTTTTCCCGCATCATGTTAAGCAGGATGCTGACGTTTTCGAACTTCATTCCTCGACATGCTGCGTGAAAGTCGAACCACTCGAAAGGTATCTCCGAAGACTGGGCCGCAAATACGTCCTCGTTCAACTTGGCAACGGTGTTTTGAAATTCCGACCCTAGCGGCGCCTCGACGTTGTGCTTCTCCACGAGGTTGACGATCTGCAAGCTCCCGTACTCCTTCGTCAATCGTACAAAGTGTTTTTTGCATGCTTCGTAATTGGCCCGCGAGGAATGTTGGATGACTGGCGCCGGCTTCAGGGAATACGGGTTCTGGGTGAAGAACAGAGGTATGCTGCCGCGGATTTGAACAAAGGAATAGATCTTATTGCTCTTGTCCCAGGACGCGTTAGAGAGGATCTGTTCCGTCTCGACGGCGTTGGCGACATAGCCATCGTCGTCAACACCGCGTCGGAGATAGCGGAGGCCAGCTCTCTTTGTGGACCGTCGAGAGATGACTGTGACGAGGAACTTCTTTTCCGTGGGGCGAAAGTCGAACGAATCGCGAGCCCTCTCTGGGGGCGGAGAGCCTGGCAGGGACACAGGCGGGGAGATGGTTGATAACTCCACGGAGTCTTTCATATCTCCGTCATGTTGGGGTGGGCTGCTGTCCACGACGAACTGTCTCTGACCGACAAATCCCTGCATGAGTGGGAGTACCAAGGCGTCATTTCCGGTTTGGATGAAGGGTTTCAGGGTATGCCTGTTCCAGAAAAACACCGGATCGACCTGCTGGTACAAAGGCAGGTCCCTGGGAGGTGCTTCGAACCTCCTTGCCCAATGCCTCGTAATGTCAATGTCGTAGGAAAAGTAGAAGCTCTGGGACAAACCGTAGAAGATGTGGGCGGTCCGCAGGAACTTCGGTAATAGAGATCTCGCTCGCTCCTCGCCGGCCTGCTCCCACTCATCGTCCTGGACCAGAGTGGCCTCAGGAGTTCCTTCCCTGCTGACTTGCCGTTCCGATTCAGGGGCAGTGGAGGACTGAGATGGTGACGCATCGCTCCACCCTATACTACGTCTCTGTCTCTGCGCCCATCCGGCTTTGCTGAACCAACGCTGGGCAAAGCGGCCGTAGCTGCCCCTGCGGCTTATGACATCTTCGGCAACGGTGCTTTTGGGATTGCGGTTGGGCCCCAAAGAACCGGCAGCGATGCCTTCGCTCGGAGCCGACGGATCCTCAACATCATCGGCGGAGTTGGCCTGCAGCTCGAGGGTTTCATCTGCGTCGCTGTCCTCGGGATCGGTATCCTCCGTCCTGCTCTGCAACTGGGTCGCGGTTCGAGAGACGGCGGTTTCGGCCTCGAAGCGGCTAGTGCAGGGAGTGATGGCTACTTCGGTGACGACATACACTGGAGAGCCGAGAATTTGGGCGACTTGCTGACGACGGGTGATAGTGATGAGGTAACTCCGCTTCGCAACAGTTATGAGCCCTGTTTAGGGAGGTGAAAGAGGGGGTCAGCAAGACAGGGCGCTTTCCGGCATGAGGGAGGAGAAAGGAGAAGCGCAGTGTGACGGACCGACGACACCGAATGCTTCAAAGGAGACGTTTGGGTTAGACGATAGGTCTGGGATCTGCTCGCGGGAGGCTGGAGCGATAGAAGCATCGCCGTAGCGTAGTCGCAGGGCCGGAGCGGGTCGTTGGCCCTTCGGAGAGAGGGGTTGAATGATAAGGCCGTCGATCGCTGCGCATATAATCACCTTGCGCGCGATGCCCGGCATGTCGATGGCAGTTATTCTATCCGTAGGAGAGGGTGGATGACATAAACCAGGAGTACCAAAGGGAACAGAAGCTACTAATATAGCTACCGAGAGAGAGATGGAAGAGTCCTGAAGACGCCATACAAGTAAGAAAGCCTCTGGTCGCAGGTTGTCGAAAGCACTCGCGAATCAGACAAAGTACGTCGATATAGCCGAGAAGGTCCCTCTCTCCCACGCTGATGGGTAATTACTCCGTACGATGTTAGGGCCATATATTGGAAGGTAAGGTGGTTATGACGTGGGTGGGGTTGGCGGGGGCTCTGGGAATCCCCGAATCATTGCTAAGCGGTACGTACTATATAACCCCCGAAAAAATCTATAAAGGGGTATATCTATTACCTGCTATTTTAGGAAGTTAAAGAAGATTCGAGAAAAGTACCTGCACTAATATAAAAAATTCTTAATATTATTATAAGATATCTCGGAGTTTTTCTGAAATCGATTTATAGCTAATTTCTATATAAGAAGATCCGGTTATAACCTGGCTTTCTAATATAAGAAATATCTTCTGTTTTTTCTGCAAAAGCTAATACTACTTAGCCCTGTATTATGGATCGGCTTTGATATTCCCTGATATAACTCCTTTATTTCTATATAGTAAGATATATTAAGGCTAAGCAATAGCGTTAAACTAGCGCCTTAGCGGTGTTCTTACTTTTATAAAAATCGTGGTAAGATTTCACTAAGTAGGTGAAACTGTTAAATTAACGAGAGCGTACTTATAGGGAGCGTTGATTCAGGAAATATATGATTGTATTATGTACAAAAGAGAAAGAAAAAGGGGCGGGTATATATATCCTAAATATATCTACCACCTTCTAAGCGAGATAATAGGGCACCTCTAACTAATAGGAGAGCACTATACCGTGACTTATATGATAGAATATAATACACCCCCTAATTATTACGCCGTGATTAGCGGAATGATTACTTAGCCTAACCTTAACCTAGCCTTATTTTTAACCTTAAAATAGCCTTAAAGGGTTATGTAATACCCTTAATATCGAGTTAAAAGGCAGGAATAAAAGCTGTAAAATAATAAAAATAATAATAATAGTAGTAAATAATAAAGGAAAAGTGCTATTAATAGTAGTAGTAAATAGGTGATAGTAGGGCCTTCCATAGATAAATTAAAGGCGTTATGCCCGCGTTTTAGAGCTTTTGGATCTTCCGTCTTATAACCTCTTATGCCGTTGTTTTTTCGAGGATTTTAACGATCTTAAACTAATTTTTCTATAAATTCTCTATTAACAGTAATAAAAATAATAATAATAGCGATATAGTAAGTATCGGAGTTTTATTATTAGTGGCGTGTGCTAATTAGTAGCATCGTTTTAGGCCCCTCTTACTTTATCCGCCGTTACCCGTGCCGCCGCCGCTACAAAGGCTTCGGCTAATAGTATAAAAAAGAATAAGGGTAAGGCCGGCACTAAGAAGAGTGCTTCTATAAGTTATTCCGGCGCGTTAGTCTATAATATCCCTGCTCTATTCTAGGCTAACTCCTTAAAAGACTACTAAGGGTAATAGAAATAATAATAATAAGGATACCGCTAATACTTTTATATCGGTGCCGTTCGACCCTCCATGCCTAGAGTGCGTAAAGGGTATTTATTCTAGTAAATAGCGCTTGTTTAACTACTATATTTCTATTCCTAGCCGCTCTTATCGCTACTAAAAGTGTAAGGATAAAAACTATATATACTACCCTTTATACGTTCTTACCCCCTATCTAAGGCACTTTACGATCGTGATCGTGTGCTTTATTTTATATTAGCTCGAAGATATATACGCCATTAAGCTTTACGACCGCTAACCTATACTTATAGTTTTTCTAGCCTTATATCCTTAGTTAAAATTCTTTTTAACTATATTATAGTCCGTAAAATTAATAAGGACTCTAATAACGACGATAAAAAGGTGCGTTTATCGCTTTATTTCTAAATTTAAATACTCTAACTAACTATTTCGCGTAGTTCTTTACTAAACTTAAGTAGACGGTAAAGTTTATAATTAGAAGATATTCGACACGTCTATTAACCACGGGCGCGTAATAAGAGTAAAATCGATAAAACTATCGGGATAAAGACTATAACTACTACCTCCCTCCCGGGATACTATTATAGCGGTACTATAATACCGGCGCTATAGTATAGCCGAAAGAGTTATAGGATAGTATCGCCCAGGCCTTAACTATACAAAATTCGTAACGGACCCACTTTTCGTAGTATAAACGCTCCCCCCCCGCCCGTGGCAGGATATAACGCAGAACCGATATAAGACTGAAAGGGGATTATCGCGCCCCCCCGGAACCGAGAGTAACTAAGATTAGGGCAGAAATTTAGGCCTTACTAGCTAATGGGAATTCGATTAACTAGGTTATAGAGCTAGTAGAGAAACTAATCACGATACGTAGTACCCGTAAGGACGCCGGTACGATACTGCTAGCGCATCTACACGCTACTATTCGTTATATTATCCGAGAGAAACTCCGAAAAGGGATAAACGGCACGAAAAAGACCTAGGCTAATATCGTAGCCCGGGCTCCCGTAACGGTACCGCCGCGGGACCTAGTACCCCCTAAAGTAATCCCCGCTAGGTATTACCGGGAATTAATTATCCGCTAAGGAACCCTCCCCGAAGACTAGCCCCTTAAGGATAAGACCCTAAAGGAGATTATCTAAGCTATAAACACTATAATTACCCGATATAATACCGTAGCGGTATAGAAGCTATTAAGCGGAGATATCTACCTTACCTTTACTAAAGGGGTATAGTAGTAGGCCACCCACAAGGAATAATAGATTAAAAAGGCCTTTAGTAAAGGAGCTACCCTAGCCGTATAGACCTACCCCGCGCTAGCTAAGGCTATCCCCTAGGAGGTCCTTAACGCCTTATCCGAAGAAGACCTGCTAGTATCCCTACGAGATATAAACCCTAAGGTAAGAATTATCCGAGCACGATAACGGGTACCCCGTCGCGGTATCGGTAAGGTAGCGCTCCTCCTTATCGAATCGGCTTCGCCGGAAAGGGTAGTAAGCCTTATCCGGAATACCCTCCTTTTTAAGGGGGGCAGCTATATCTATAAACTATATAACCCTGACCTTAGCCCCCTAAGGTGCTATAAGTGCCTATACTTCGGCTACTAAGCGAATAGCTGCCTTATAGCGGAGAGGGTATACCGTTACTACGCTAAGCCCGAATCGGTATACCCCTAGGGCCTAGGATATTACGAAGCTACGGCGCCGGGGCGCCCCCGCCACTACGCCGCCTATACTAAAGACTATAATACTTTTAATAATTTATACCGACTATTAAAGAAGGAGGCCGAGAAAACCCGCGAAGCGTATAAGCACTAAGCTAAGGACTATAATATTACCCGCTAGACTAAAGCGGTATACCCGCGGTAGCCGTAGATTTTTCCCCCGATTATTATCGTCTAGGACTAGGACCGACCCTTCTATAAAGGTAGGGGTCGGCCCCCGAAAAGGACTAGGGGATAGGAGGGCTCCCCGATACTAGGCCCGATAAGCGCCTATATAGTCCCTTATAGGGCCGATAAGGCACCGTAGTAGGAACCCTAGAGCTAGACCCCGGCTATACCGGATATATTATCTTAACCCCCCCCCCTTTACTTAATAGAAATCTATATCCTTTTATAGAATATAGGGAGGAGTTAGGTATGGCGGGAGCTACCGCTCCGGTGCCGCGCCGAGTATAATATAATAGTAATTTAGGAACCTGGCCTTAACTGCTTCACGAAAAGCCCCGTATACCCCTCCTAAGGGGTATACCGGCTAATTTAGGGAGGAGGCCGCGCCCTCCTATATATCTATAAAAGACACCCGCTATATACGTGGATATAGCGGGCCTACCGCGATACCTATACGGTTATATTCGGGACTAAAGACGATACCCTTATAATCTAGTCGATCTACTTAGAGAACTACTAGTCGGCTAGGATCCCCTAGAATATGCCCCTATAAGATATATTCGATATAGTACCACTACGGGGCTAATATATCCTTATAAGGGACTTTAACCTATACTATCCCCTATAGTTATAGCTACCGCGGTATTACCCCCGAGCCGATACCCTACTTACCCTTATAACCCGGTAGAACCTCTACCTAATAACCCCCCCCGGAATAACTATATAGTACCGCCCGGGCCGGCGTGCTAGTACTATCGACCTTATATAGGTAACGTAAGGGCTCTGCTATAACTCTAGCGGCCTGGATAAGACTATTATCGGGTCTAACTATTACTTATAAATAGTCTAAATCCTTATAGAGACGGACGCCTCGCCGACTACCGCGATAATACTACCGCGGGACTTAACCGGGCTCTATTAGGTCTAGAAAGACTTTAACCCCTTATAGGTCCTTTAGCTTACTACTACGCGGCTATAATAGACCGGCCCCCTTATATTACTAGAAGATATCGACTTAGTATTAGATAACCTAATAGTAGACCTTACGACTATAGCCGATAAGACCGCGCCGCGCCGCTATAAAAGTACCCCTAAACGCCTATCCACCCCTTAGTGGAACGCGGAGTTAACCGCCCTTACCTAGGAAGTAAGGCGCCTTTACCGCAGATATATATCTAGGAAATCCCGAAATCGATAGGACGAGTTCTAGGAAGCGGAGAGGCGCCGGGATAAGGCTATAGCGGTAGTAAAACGGATATATTAGCGGTATCTACTCTACTTAACCGGGAAGGACGATAGCCTTCTTTAGCGGCAATAGAAATAGGTATAAATTAAAGGGGGCGTATTACCGGACCCCCTATTAGTGCTACTACTACGCTAAGACGATAGCGCTTACCCGGTAACTATACACGTAGAGAAAGCTAAGGTCCTAAACCGGAAGTTTCCCCCCCCCCCCCTCCCTACCGTCCTTAGGCCTTTAGGCGCGGAATCCCCCCCGGGGTAGGATATCCGCCGAGATATTACCGTAGCG